ACCGACTAACATAAAACGTCAGAAACACTAAATTTTACGGAAGAAATGTCAGAAGGAAGCTGCATCCAGGTTTTTTTACAAATTGAAAATGGGCGCGGCGTCGTCCACTTATGGACCAAAAACCATATCTCAGGAAGTACTCAACCTATTTCATTGAAATTCGGTATATAATATTTTCTTAACGCCGTGATGACATTTACCAAATATGGGTGAAATCGGTTCACAACCACGCCTGAAATCTCGATTATCACTTTATCATGCGAGACTATAAAATGTTCGGTGACACCCGAACTTAGCCCTTCCTTCCTTGTTTTTTTTGTTAATATCTTTTGGTAACGCTAATTCCACTTTATTTAAGGCCTTGTAAAGGGTATTTTTGCACCTATATGCACCATCCAACGATATTATTGGTTGCTCTTGTTGTTTTTGTTCCTTTATTTTCTTTCTATAAATTTGCATACGGTTTCGGTGGCCAGCCTTTACTTTTTTTGATAATGAATCGTCATTTTTAAGTTTTTCTTTAAGATTTTTTCTATAAATTTTCATTCTTTTCGCATTTTTTAAACGTTCTATTTGTGTTAAGTTTTCACTGGATTGTATTTTTTTGTGATATTTTCGCACACGCTCTGCACCCGTTTTTCAACTGTTATTTTTAAATATTATACTGTAAACAAACAATTTTCTGTGGTACCAATACCGATAATCTAAAGTGACACTGAAAGATAATTGCAAATGATTCAAACGAAACCAAAGGCGAGACMACGTGAAATTTACCGTTTAAAAAAATAATCGCTAATCGGTACGATTATAGTAGGCGAAGAATAGATTTAAGAAGCGAAGTGATAAGAAAACTGAATAAAAATTGAAAAGGTTTCCATTGTAATTTTTGTGAGAACTTAAATCGTTAAGCACGCCACAGAAATGAATATGCTGTAATTTTTTGATTTTTAATTGTAGAATGAAAATTTTTTTCTTAAAAGCAGGATATTTATTTAAATTAAAATTATAGATGATTTGTAAAAAAAAATTTTTTTCTACTCACAATATAAAAAAAACCTGATTTTCCGTTACGCACACTACAACATTTCATACAAAATTTTAATGTTTCCAGAAAAGTAAATGAAATTTTTTTTTTTACAAATTTTAGGGAGAATTGAGTGAATAACAATATGGCTTCCGATTGGACGATCTATGTTAATACTAAAGCAATGATGAACACGTAAAAAAATTCACTTTTTTTTGTATAACACCTGAAGAGACCTGAGGTAGGGTTGGATTTGGTAATAATTTTTGTATTAATCATCATCGAAATAATTTTTTTTTTATAAATTTATAAAATTGGATATCTATTCTAATGCCCCATTAAAAAAAAATTAGGTTGGATTAAGTTCAAATATTTTTGGTTGGTAGACAGTTTCTGAGATATGCCCATATGTATAATTAACAATCTTCTCTACACAGATCACCTTGGATGTAGATACACCAGTCGCAACCCCGTGGAATTTTTAGGGGTATGCGGCCTTTGTAACGGCAGCAAGTTGCTCAGGCCCACGGGCATTGCCTCAACTGCCTGTCGCACACTCATGAGTGTGAGTCACGGGGGCTGTGCCAAATGTATCACCGGCCACCTCATACGCTGCTACATCGCAGCGCGTCACGCGAAGCGCACCGGCCATCCAACCATCGCAGCGGCGTCTCCCGACTTCCACCCGCCGATAGTGTCATACACCAGAGGAGTGTAACCTCGTTGCGGCGTCGACAGACTGGACCATCCCCTCGTCGATCCACGGGTCTGAGCAGCGTTGTGGCAACGCTGCAACAGCTGCAGCGCCTTTTAGGCTAAACAGTCGTTTAGGGGGGGCGGGATGGCTAAATGAGCACCTCACCTCTCTCTTAATATAATACTCCTACACCATCCATATCATCCACACATCTACACCATATTCATCATCCACACCTTACACCCGACACACCGACATCATCTACACTACACACGAGACGGACGGCGCCGACCTCTCTTTGGTTTTTGTCGGTCCGTGCGCTCATACGTAGTCATCATCTTCAACCTTAATTTTTTCGAAATCGTCACAAGGTGAGTGTCGGAAGTTTTTGTTTTTCATAAATATTCACTATATATTGCACATAGAGGTCGTCAATATACCCCTCCTTCAATCTGTGATGGCAAAGTAATCATTTCCTTAAATGTCAATTTACTTTCGCCTATCACTCTTTTTAAATTATATTTAACCGACTTGACTCCTGCCTCCCAAATTCGTCCGAAGAGAGGAGCTGCCGGCGGCCCAAATGCTATTGAATTTTTCGGCTTTTAATACGGTTGAATTTTTCTCGATTGCTATTTTGAAATCTAGGTTTAATCTTCTACAAGCTCCGACAAAATTTRTTCCATTGTCCGAATATATATGCACTTTTACATCTTCTAGCAAAAAAATTTTAAAAAGCAGCTAGGAACGCTTCGGTTGTTAAATCACTTACTGCTTCTAAATGAATAGCTTTTGTTGTCATTCAAACAAATACAGCTATGTATCCTTTAAATGTTTTTTGCCCTCTTCCTGTTGAACATTTCATATGAAACGGCCCGGCATAGTCTATACCAACGTGTGTAAATGGAATTGACATATATACTCGAAATTATGGAAGATTTCCCATAATTTGTTTTGTTACTTCTTTGCGGTAATGTATGCATCGACTACAAGTTGAAATTGTCTTTTTTATGGAATTCTTTAATCCAATAATTCCTTCGAATCATTGCTTCCATTAACTTGTGTCTTCCATACAAGGTTATTTTATGTACATTTTCAATTATTAATAATGACAAATGTGAGTAATTTAATATTATTGGGTGCTTTTTGATTTAAGATGTGCACTACCCAACCTACATCCTACACGCAGGATTCCATTACTATCCGAAATTGGATTTAAGCATGCAATGCTACTTTTTTTACTCATTTAATTTTTGAATTCGAAACTCATAATTTCCTCTCTAAATGGTAATTTTTGCTGATATCTTATTAATATTTCTTCAGCTTCTTTCATTTCTGACTTTACTAAGTATTCGGGGTATTTTTGTCCTCTTATTTTTTTATCTCTGGTATATGCTGCTTTTGTTAAATTCTCGCCAAGTAACTCGACTCAGTTGAGATTCATCAACCAAAGTTTCTGTATAAACAACTTTGATATTACTGTTATTGGGGAAAGCCATCACATTTAGTGCGCTAAATCAGATAAAGCTTGCTTTTTTGTAACTAGCTTTTGCGTTGAAAGATTCGTATTAAATCCAAACATGTCTTTGGTAGGTTCCCATTGAATACCCAATGTTTTTATTGTTTCGTCTACTGCTATTTTTATTACTTCATTTGCGCCATTTTTTGAATCGACATCCATCATGGCCTTACATTCATTTATTGAATCTGCTCCTGTCATTAAATCGTCATTTAGTGGAAGTCCTTTTTAATGATATTTGAATGCAAAGAGTTGTGAGGCTCGCAGAAATAGGCAATATCTTGTAAAGTTTTCGTTGCCAGGAAAGGAGGTGATGCTGTCCCATACATAACTGTTTGTAGTTTGTATTCTTCTCTCGGCTCTCCTTTTGTTTCTCTCCACAATATACGTTGATAATCTTGGATCACTTTCTGTTATTTTAATTTGCCGAAACATCTTTTCAATATCACTTGTTAATAATAATGCCAAAGTCTATATTTGATTATAATGTCAAATATATCTBTTTGAAGTCTCGGTCCTATGAAGAGGATGCCATTTAAACTACATACTTCCATTTGTAGTTTTTGCATACGCATCGAAAACTACTCGTAGCTTAGTTGTTAGACTGTCTTCTCGAATCACAGCTTGATGTGGCAAATAGTATTTTCTGCATCTATTTTCACTTGCGTTTTTCTTGTGACCCATTTCTAAATATTTTCTCAAAAATTGCACGTATTGTTTTCTTAACTCGTCATTTGTAGCGAACCTTTTTTCAATTAGGCTGTTCACGATAAGGTGGTTATTGGGTTATGTGTTTATGTGATTAAGTAAGCAACAACAAAATGCGGTATGACAAAATAACCAACTTTGACCAACCCAGACCCTTGTTTACAGATTATGAGGTTGTTTGCTTATTTCCAGTGTTAGAAAGTCGTTGGWGTTTTACTAAATGGCAGCACAAAAAATAAATAAAACTAAGCGAATGGCATTTCCATTTATATTTTCTAATTGGAAATTMKKCTATTAACAGCTGTTTTTTGTTTACAATTGCATTGTGTCTGCAAATTTTATACAAAGAATCTTTTGAAACCTTAAAATTCGGATTATTATGCGGATACGGATGCTTATTAGCACACACCTTCAATAAAGTCCATTTTCTGAATAGCAGAACTTATTTTAAATTCAATTTACATTCTACAATATTGATGCTTTTTAAACTTTGTTTAGGCATTTTATAAGTAGAAATTTCATTGAACTTAAAATGTAAACAATGAAGAGCTGTTGGTGTAAAAATAAGCATATAACCATCAATACGGGATGTTCACGGATCATAGAGATTATTTTTAATCTAATAACCACATAACCCGATAACCACCTTATCGTGAACAGCCTAAATATTAAGAAACCTCGCCATAGCTTGTTTGCAAGAGTCGGCTAATTCTTTTTCTTTTTTAAAAGGTAGATTGATGACAAATCGATTATTTTCAACTTTTACTGTAGTTTTTTTCAAAAAATTTTAGGCATTCATCATAATCTGCTTCATCTGGTAGAGTTTTAGTGTCTTCTAATCCGCAAAACTTCTCCAATGTTGTAGTAACCGCTGCTAAAATTTTGTTGTATATCCAGCCCAATTTCGTAGCTTGAGCTAGTATTCGATCCTTTTTAAATATGTCTTCTTACGCCATCGATTCGATCTGATTTATTGAAATTGGGATCAGCTAAAGTTTTTCTATTATTCTACATCTCATTTAAACGATTTGTGTGGTTGAGCACTACCTAATTTTGGCAAAGCTAGTGCTACGACATTGTATGCTTCGTTGCCTATAGTCCAGTCATTTAAGCTTAAATTAGGTAAGAACCTTGGAATTTGAGATACCCAGCTGTAAGTCTGTAAATACTTGCATATTGACACCCTTTTTTTTTGTAAATATCTCATTTCCACGGGTTTTTTGCTGTTTGTATTTATTATCAATATTGTAGAATACAAAGTTCTCTACAAATTTTATTTGAAAAAATTTTTCATACGGTGAACCGTTTTCGAGATAGAGGGCGGAGGGCGCGCAGTCACAGCATCACTTCAGGTCAACCGGTGCCTCCGGTCAAAAACGCGCCATATATAGTTGATGAACTATCGATAAATCAATGATTATAAATATTTGTAAATTTTTATTAACTATTATATTATATTTTATCAATATCTTCAAGCCTTAAATCTATATCTATTCAATAATACTGATCACCGTTTCCTAAAATTAAAAAATAATTAAGGGAATAACTTAAATCATAATATAATTATATTCCCATTAACACTAATGACATTTTAAATATAAAATAATTAAGTGCATCGTCTTTAAAATCTGTAAATTTTAAAAYCCTTCCACTACGTCAAAAATTATACCTGGGAATTATACGGGCCCTTATTATACACTACATACCTTTCTGTTTATAGCCAGTAGGGACAGATGTTCAAGATGTATATTTACGACCGTCTTCTCTATGTTTCAGTTTGAATCGTATCTTGGTAAATTTCAAAAACAATGGCTGATTTGTGTTTTCAATGTAATAAGTCAGATTCGGGAGGTGAATCGCTTATTGAAGTAGTGCGCRGTATGAAATTTCTGCGAACTGCAAGTGTCGAACGAAACGACGGAAAATTTGATTATTTAAAATCAGTAACCTCTGTTAAAGTGCATGAAAAGTGCCGAAGTGTTTACATTAGTAAAAACTATACCCAGCAGCAAAMCGGAAACAAGAAGAAGGAGAAACTATAACTTCTCCATTAGTACTCCGTACAAAACGAGGTGAAGTGTTTGATTTTAAGAATCAATGTTTATTTTGTGGCGAAGTTGCTGATGTGGCTGCAGACAAAAGGAAAAGAGAAAAATACAGGCGGATAAAATGTGAGTACTCTTGAGTTCAAAGATACTGTTATCAAAAAAGCAGAAGAACGTGGGGTTGATTTCGGAGAATTGGTGAAAAGTCGTATAATTTTACAGTATGATTTGATCGCTGCTGAAGCGAAGTACCTTGCTGCTTGCTTTACAAACTTTTCAAATAAATCATCATCATCATCGCCTCTTGAGAAGCCTCTTCAAGATAATCATGATACACAAGCTATGTTAGAGATTTTCAATTACATCGAAAATAATGATGGTTCTCAATTCACACTAAAAGAACTTAAAGACGTTTTGACAGGGTATATGAAAGATGATAAAACCATCATTTCAAGACTACATCGGTTAAGTACCGATATCGTAATTACGAAGAAAGTTGGAGCTTTCAAAATCATTTCTTTCCGTGATGCACAAGCTAATATTCTATCAAAAGCTTGGTAGGAAAGTAAAAAAATGGATCCTGAAGCAGAATGGCTAAGAATTGTAGAAGCTGCAGCAGCAATTATTAAAGAAGATATCCGAACATCTATAGTTGAAACTAAATCTTATCCACCTCCTAGTAAAATGTTGGATAAAGTTAATCAAGAAATTCCAAAAACTTTATTACATTTCTTAGAAGAAGTCATCGTCAAAAACTGGAAAGGACAAATTGATCATTTAAAAACAAAATGTATGGCTGCAATACGGGAATGTTCTCAGTGCTCTACCATATCAGAGCGACATTAACGAAGATGGAACTTTCGACCCCGAAATCATGAAAGAACTTGAGGCAAATGTCGTTGAAGACGATAATGAAGACCAGTTTGAAATTTACCAGCAGCCGGAAGACGACGATGAAGAGGAAGAAGACGATTAAAATTATAAATTGTAGTTTTTGTACCATTTATTCCATTTTTTTACTTTTAATAAAAATAAATGTATTGAATGATATTTTTTAATAAAATATAAATCCATAATTTATTTTTTTTTTATCATGTAAGAACTTATTAATATTAATTAGGTTTAAATTCAAATATAATTCCTATATTTTCCTTAACAAATAAAAAAAAAACGATTTTTATGACCTTTGACCTTGAAATTTAATAGTTGCGTACACCCTACCAAACGTAGGTTTTGAGACAACTTTTAGGTTGTCAATATACCAGTATTTACGGACTTACAGCTGGGTATCTCGAATTCCGAAGTAAACTTACTATAATGACTGGACTAAGGAATCTCGGATTGATTTTATTGCTGATTTTTAAAATGGACACTCCCTATGCGGTATTGCCTAAACCTTTTGGTTGACATACTTCTCTTCTTTTAGGTAAATGAAGTATTTGACCTGCTTCTTCGGAAATAGTAGTTTTTGAGATCCTTGGTCGATTATTTTGAAGCAATTATAACAGACGACATAACCTTCCGGATCTCTCCACTAATTTCTTGTT